CACTTAGTTTCTTTATTTTGAGTGAATATTAGTTCTGCTTTTCATTTTAAATGATTCTACAAACATATTTTTCTGATGTAGTTTTGCTCTCTCAAACAAATACATTTGATTTATTTTTTAAAGTAAATGCAGAAAATAAGTGCAGCAATAACATTTCAAACTGTTTTGAGCAGTCAAGTTTGGACAGAATTAACCAAAATAATTATATTTTTATTAGTTTTATTTATGGGAACAACACAAAATTATAGATTGCCCCAAACTAGTGCAAATCTTTGTCTAAAGGTTTGAGCCCTTTAGATGCTGGTTTAGCTCCTGGGGGGGATGGTTTTTTATTTTATTTTACATATTTTATTTATTTTACGTTTATTTAGGGGAAATGTAACAGGATTCTTTCTTTTCTAATTCATATTTCAAATTATTATTTTAAAATTATTTTAAAAAATTGAATAATTCAAAGGTTCCCAAACTCCCAAAGACAGTAAAAAATGATAATTTCCATTGATTATTTTGGAACCAATTCTAGGAATTACAGAGTATTCTGATGGGAGATCTGAACCAACATAGGAGTGTGTGGGTGATGGCTGTGGGGCTCCAGAGGACATCTGCTGGTTTATGGTGTTTGTGCTTCTGGTCATTCATTAACAGAGAACACAGTCCATTCACACAACTGCTCCTCACTCCAGCTAGCCGGGACCATGGATTTTTATGTTTTTCTCTGTCAAATCTCATTTGATTTGACAGAATTCTCTTTTTAAATCTGGTTCTGGATCAGAGGCTTGATCCCCACTCGGGGGACAGACGGCTCTGCTCTCAGCTCTGGAGTGGAGGAGTGTCCGTTCGGCTGATTACTGTGTTTAGCCAACGCGTCCAACAGGATATTAACAGGAGATCTGGCCTCACCAGCAAACAGAAACACACCGAGTGCAGACAGAGACATCATCCTTACAGTTCCAGAGGCTGCTCCTAAAGCCCACATCTGGTTCACCTTCTCAGAAAAGCTTAGAATTATTCTTACTAATTTGTTCGCATTATCATCATCACTTATTTTATATATATATAATGTATTTTGGGAGTTAGTAACAAAAATAATTTCCCTCTGGGATTATTTAAGTATTTCTGATTCTGACAAAAAAAACGTACAAATCTGAAATTGAATTCCTACACTTATAAAGATTAACCTTTTCAGAAGATGATTTTAAAAATATACACAAGTCTTCAATCTCTTAACAAAGTACATACAGCTAATGTGAACTGAATATGGGAAACAGAAGGCAGCCTCACAATCTCACAGGAAACCTGGAAGGAAGCATTGGAAAACACCAAATTCTCCACTTTGGACTGAAAGAAAATCTCACTTTTCCCCTAAAACTATTTTGGGTTTCAGTTTGTAATATTTGGTGGATCTGGAGGAACACAGCTAAATATTTACTCAGATTATAACTGAAGAAGCCAATAACTGAGAGATGGTTTAAGGAGGGAGGACAGAGTGTGAGTGAATGGATCTATATTGTGTTCCACATCTTCTTTAATGGAAAGAATTACTTTCAAACTTAGAACACAACACAAGACATTTATGGAAAAGGTTTCAGGCTTTTATGTGTTTTCAAATCTTTGTATTTCTCACAACTGGATATGTATCCAGTCCCCTTTTGAGCGCTTTTACTTTTTCCTTGTTGTTTTCAGTATTTTTCTTTGCGTCTTCGTGTTTGTTTGTTTATTTCAAAATCAAAAAACCAATCAATAGATGAGATAAAAAAAGAAAATCCGGTTTTCTTTCAAAAGCTTAATGCACCCACTCCTGAACTCACATTTAGTGATTTATGTTACTTTGACTTAGACTTAGACTCAACTTTATTTATCCCTTTATTTACTCTGGTTCCAGTAGCTTATGTAGAGGTCAAAGGTCAGAGTTAAAGCAAGATGCCATTGAAGATAAAAATAGAAAAGACTATATAAAAAGAGTTTATATGGTACAAAAGAGCATAAGAAAAGTTGTAATGTCCTGAAATCTGTGTCCCTTTGGAGAATAGTTATATTTAGTCTGTTAAACAAACAGTCTGACTTTAGTATTGGAGTAACATTTATGTCACACAAGGAAAAGCACTGGTCTCTTCATCTCAGGAGGCTGTCTCAGGTTTTTGTCCTTTATGGCCTTTTTCTTGCATAAACCTCTTCAAATCTGAGAATCTGGGTGGATCTGTAGGTCTTATTTATTCTGGGAACCAGACTTCACATGTGAAATGCTTTTTGTGGGAACTGGAGGCTGACTAATTCTCGTATCTTTGGGCTTTCTTGTGTTAATCAGAGGTATAAAGGGGGTTTTTCCAGAGAAGCTAAAGCTAGCAGCAGCTGCCAGAGGCCCAGCTGTTGTGTGTCCCAGCAGCTGGATGTGAATCCAGCTGTTCTCCATAGCTGCTAATGCTCCTCTGCTCTTGTTTTTCTGTTTCTCCCTCCCTCCTTCTCCTCTCCCTGGGCTTTCCTGGAGGTCGGCATGCAGCCAGTGTGAACGAGGCAGACGTGGACGGCTCTGGAGACAGTAGGTCCAAATTCTGTTGTTCTTAAAAGGCCGGTCCCGATCCCATTTCTGGATCCAATCGGCCACCACCATTAGCATTAGCATTAGCATCTGTAACCCACAGGTCTGTGTCCTAACCATTAAGTTGTTATCAGAGTAAATCCCTGTTCAACATGAGTCTGACAACTAAGTAAGTAGATAAATAACTTTAGACTTTAACACATGCTCTGATAGGCCGGGATCGGGATCAAAAAGCTGGATCGGGACATCCCTAGTTCTTAAGTGGGAAAAGGAAAATGGAATAGCTTTTTTAAAATGTTATTTTCTGGCTGGATGTTTGGATCCATACGAGTCTTTCTTTCTCTCTTTCTCCCCCCAGTCTTCTCCTTCCCGGCTCTGCCTAACGAGGAGGCTCTAATAGGCGTCAGCAAGCCCCTCCCCAAGCAGCTGTGGGAGGCCAAAAAGGTGAGTGGACCAAAGAATTTCGGGAAGAAGTTTGGGGAGTTTCTACGTCCTCCATCAACCATTTCTGCTGCGTGACTTCCAAAAGGAAAACAGGGATGACATCAGAGGGTTTTAGTTTAATACCCGGCTTTTCAGAGTGCGTGGGTCAGGAGGGGAAAAGGGACGATGTGCTGAAAGTTTCATCTTTTCTCAGTTTGGTCAGACTCAGTTACTCCGTTAAGCCTCGCTCACGCGTCTTTAAAGGCGGGAAGTCGGAGTTTAAAAACTGAGGGCATCCAAAAAGGTCTGAACCCCTCCCGTCCAGCTCCTCTTTCTGGTACGACTTCAGGTGGGCAGGATGGGGAAACTGATTCCTGCCCTAAAAACCTTTAAGTAGATCATTATTTTATTTTTTTTGTAATTCAAATTTTAATTGGAACATATAGAAAAAAACCTCCTTGTGGTGCATTACATGCAAACCACAGGAAAGGGCATCAAAAACACACTAAGATTAAGATTTTGGTGGACAGAGATTACAAAAAATAATAATGTGAGGGATGACGTGCTCAAACAAAATTAAATGACAAAACATGTACACAAATAATACATAAATACAATTCTGGATTTAAACACTGTCAGAGTTGGGTTCTGTCTCACGTAACATTTGATTTAAAAAAAATGTTAACCAAATTATGATGATTATACAAATATTATTAGGCCTCATGCCCCATTAGTAGGAGGTGTGTAAGACGTCACAATCAATAGGAAGTGATATGATCCATGAAATGATCCCAGATTCCCAGATTCCCAGTTGGACTTGTCCAGTCTGCCCAGCATAGCCTCACATGAGGTGTTTAAGTAGATCATTATTGAGCTATTCTCTTAAAAACGCCCCGTCTGTGCTCCATTCCACCACCAAACATCTGTCTCTTCCTTTATTGGAAAAGTTTTTTTATAATCTCAGATTCCAAACGCAACATTTTTGACCATCTGCTGTCCGTATAAAAAGATTTAAGTTCCTAAAATCCTTGAAAAGACACCCTACAGGATCATCTATCCACCCATCCATCCATCCATCAATCTATTTCCCTCCGCTTAGCAGAAATTGGGTCGGCTTGGCATTAGGCTAAGCGGGGCATTCCAGATGTCCGTGTCCTCACCAACTCCTGCGGCATTCCCAGATGAGTCAGGTAATCCCTCCACAAAGTTCGGAGGCTTCATCAGGGTCCGTTTGGAACGCCGCATTAACTCCTGTGTGTGTGTTAATACTCGTTTTTTTTTAGAACAACTTTTTTATTGCTTTTAAAGAGAGCAGGGACATTAGTCTGATAAGGGCAAAAGGCTAGATTGCAACCTAATACAACAGAAAAGAACACATAAGAAACAAAAAAAACCCTGCTTGGATCTCTATAGAACTCTTACAGGACCTAAGAGACCATGTTACAACAACATATGCAAACACAAATGGTGATTACAGGAATTCCTAGATCTTAGGAGAACACGTCTTCTCCAGCTTGTTGATTTTAATGAGACACAATGGGAGGACATGGTCCATAGAGGTAAGCCCTGTGGATATAATTGAAAAGTATCTGTTGATGATTAGGGTTTTTGGAAGCCAAGACAATTGACGTCCAAATCCTGTGTGTTAGTACTCGTGAACAACAGCAAAAGATGCTGGAATTTCCTATTTTTTAATTGATTTTTAAAGGAAATGACTCCCTTTCAAACCCAAGTTGGAGGCTCCCGGTTTCCCCTAAAAAACTGGCCCACTCCGAGGCCTCTGAGGCCCTGAACATTGGTGGTTTCAGGCTAATTTCCGTCTAATTCGGGAGCTCCTGGTGGAGGGGTTTTGGCCTCACGGTGCTGGAAACGTGTGGATCTAAATGCTAACGCCTGTGTTTCTGCTGCAGGTTCAGTCTCTGGCGTCGAGGCCCAAATCCTGTGAAGTGCCTGGAATTAAGTAAGTGTCATTACTCTGAGCTTTCCCGGTGTTTGTGGATCCATTTTTCTGCTCCGGGTTCATAAACCTGAATCTCTACTGTCACTGTGATTAGGATCTTTCTTTGTTAGCTCACATAGAAAAGGCTTTTATGTCTTATTTGATGCTTTTTCCTCTTAAAATAGTCATGCCACTCATCTAATGACGCTTTATTCTTAGGGAAAATGTAAAACGCATCAAAATTAAAACAGAAAAAAAAAAAAAAGTGGGTGTTTTTAAGGAAAGAAAAGAGGGCTTAATAAAACTGATTGACATGCAGGTGTGTTAAAACATGCCAGCTGAATACAGAAAGTTATTTCTGTATTTAACAAATTCTTGGAAAAAATTTGAATTCAACGCAGTTTTGTAAAAGAAAAAATAAAAAAAGATCTAATTTGGTCGACATATTAAATGATGAACTGATGTCTCTGAGCCAGAAATGTATTGTGGTTCATTAAAAAGGGGAGATTTCATATAACAAACAGTCTGACAGCATTTAAAGTTGTTTCATTCTGAGTCTGCTCTACATTCAATAATCCGACTATTTATGGATCTATCGTTCAAATCCATCCGTAAAAACTGTTTAAAAGCAGGGCAGTTCTTGCCCTCTCTCTATCTCTTTTGCCCCCTTTCTCTTGCCTTTTCTCTCTCTCTATCTCTCTCTCTCTTGCCCACCCTCTCTCTTTCTCTTGCCCTGTCTCTCTCCCTCTCTCTTTTGCCCTCTCTCTCTCTTGCCCTCTCTATTGCCCTCTCCCTCTCTCTTCCCATCTCTCTCTCTTTCTTACCTCCTCTCTCTCTTTCACCCCCAACCAGTTGAGGCAGATGCAAACTAAATAAATAAAACTGAACAGAGCTAAAACTAACCCTCTGACCCTCTGCCCCCCCCCCCGGCAGCATCTTCCCGTCCCCGGAGCAGACCCCGGGCCTGTCCCACTACCAGGGCTCTCTGAGCACCGGCGGCTCTCTGCCCGACCTCAGCAACCTGCAGTTCCCCTCCCCGCTGTCCACCCCGCTGGACCCCGAGGACGGGGGGGGCTACCCCGGCCTGAGCGGGGGCAGCAGCACCGGAAACCTGCCCGCCGCCATGATGCACCTGGGCATCGGACACTCGCAGGGTGGGTGGCAGCCACACCGAGAGAGTACTGGAGGAGAAGTACTAGTACTAGATAAAAAAAAAAACTGACCTGAAGTGTTCTTTCAACACGAGACTTAAGTGGAAGTACAAAAGTACTCAATTTTTTGTGCAAGTTTTGTGCATTTCTAATCGAGTATTGAAAGTATGAGTGAAAGTACAAGTACTGTGTAAATAAAAAAAAAGGCAGTCAAAGGTTTGATAGATATTGTTTATATTATTTCAAACGTGTGAAAGGCAGAAAAAAACAGAAAACAAAAAGCCAGACGGGCGAGTTAAGCCTAGTGGTCAGAGATATATAAAGTACTGGAGTACAAGTACTACATAAAAAATTGACTTGAGTAAAAGTTTAAGTACTCTTTCAACTCCATATTTAAATGGAAGTACAAAAGTACTCCTTTTCTTTTACTTAAGTATTGCAAGTAGAAGTATTTCAAAAATTGCTACTCAAGTATCGAAAGCACAAGTATAAGTAAAAGTACACAAAACAAAACAAAACATAAATAAAACATCCCAAAAGGCCAGAGGGGCAAGTTAAGCCTGGTGGTCAGAGGTGGATAAACTACAGTAAAACTTCATCTGCATTACTAATCAACAGCACTTCATCTACTATTATTTATTATTCCAGAATAAATATATTCAGGGAGAACTGAACTAGCGCTTATTTACTAGCTTTTATGTCATTGTATTTTTTTATATACCTTGATATACTTCTTCAGATTAGATGGGGAATTTTTGAAGGCCATGATTTAAATATTTTGGGAGGCATTTTTTAAATATTTTATGCTTGATTGCTCAAATCGGCCAATGAGGAGCCAGCTTCCCAAACCTTGACGGAGATATCTATTATAATGTTTACTTATCAGTAACGAGTAACTATTCAGTCCATAAAGGTAAAAGTCTTAAATTAATCAAAAATATGTAATGGAGTAAAAGTAAAAGTTGGAACAAAAATATATACTCCAATAAAGTACAGATACTGCATTTTGGTACTTAAGTACAGTACTTAAGTAGCTCTACTTTACTGTACATTTCTGGGAGCAGCTCACTACAGACTATGAGCCGGTTGGGCCGGTTTTTACCTCTAAAGAAAAGGGCGTCGGCGTATCCGTGCCTGAAACGGGATGAAAAGAAAAGAGGCCAAAGCTGCCGGTCGTCTAACAGCTAGTTTCACCTCCGGAGATTGGAGGAAAATGTGCGATTATATACTCTAATTATATACTCTAAATGAGGAGTTTCATGAGTCTAAGAGCTTTAATATCAAGGACAGCACAGACAGTTATGTGTATGAAAATTAAATAAAGATAATTAAGATAAGTTTGTGTAAAGTTCATGCAGTGAAAAATCATAAGAATAGAATATAATATCCGGGATCGGATTGGGACATCCCTAATAAAAATGAAAAAAAAAACAACTAAGCTAAGTTAGTTTAAAGTTCAGGTAGTAAAGTCAGAGTAAGTTAGGGTTGGTCCCCTAAACTTCCCACATGAGGGAGGAACATCATAGAAGTACAATAAACACAAAACCTAACAAAATAAAAGCAAAATCATATTTAACTTAATACAAATAATATATTAAAATGACAAAATAACTAATAATAAGGGCTCAACTGAACTTAGCTTCAAAATTAACATCCCCCCTTCAGTGTTTGGAACAATGGTATCTTCCAAGGCTTCCACCTCATGCTGGATTCTAATTGCGGCCCTTAATGGTCGTAGTAGGAGCATCCACCACCATTAGCATTAGCATTAGCATCTGTAACCACAGGTCTGTGTCCTAACCATTAAGTTGTCCGGTAACCCCCCCCCCCGTCCCCCGGCAGGTCTCTCCTCCTCCCTGAGCAACCCCTCCATCCAGGCCTCCCTGAACACCTGCCAGCTGCAGTCGTCCCTCAGCAACCCGTCCATCAGCTCCTCTCTGCGTCTGTCCGGCAGCTCGCCGCGGCGCCGGCCCACGCCCATCAGCCCGCTCACGCTGTCGCCCGGGGCCGAGCAGCGCCGGGGGCTGGCCAAGCAGCTGTCCCCCACCATGTCCCCCTCGCTGTCCCCCCTCACACGGGTGAGGGGGGGGGCTTTTTTAGGGCTTTTAAAGCTGTTTTTGGGGCTTATAAAGCAGTTTTTTTTAAGGGATTTTAAAGCGTTTTTTGGGGGCTTTTAAAGCTGTTTTTTTGCAGATTTTAAAGCTGTTATTTGAGGGATTTTAAAACTGTTTTTTGAAAGATTTTAAAGCTGTTTTTTGGGGCTTTTAAAGCTGTTTTTGAGGGATTTTTAAGCGTTTTTTGGGGGGCTTTTAAAGCAGTTTTTTGTGGCTCTTAAAGCTGATTTTGAGGGCTTTTAAAGCGTTTTTTGAGGGCTTTTTAAGCTGTTTTTTGAGTGATTTTAAAGCTGTTTTTGAGGGGCTTTTAAAGAGTTTTTTTGGGGCTTTAGAGCTGTTTTTAGGGGTTTTAAAGCTGTTTTTTGAGGGATTTTAAAACTGTTTTTTGAGGGATTTTAAAGCTGTTTTTTGGGGATTTTAAAACTGTTTTTTGAGGGATTTTAAAGCTATTTTTTTAGGGATTTTAAAGCTGTTTTTTAGGGGCTTTTAAAGCTGTTTTGAGGGATTTTAAAGCTGTTTTTTTAGGGGCTTTTAAAGCTGTTTTTTGAGGGATTTTAAAGCTTTTTTGAGGGATTTTAAAGCTGTTTTTGAGGGATTTTAAAGCTGTTTTTTAGGGGCTTTTAAAACTGTTTTTTGAGGGATTTTAAAGCTGTTTTTTTAGGGGCTTTTAAAGCTGTTTTTGAGGGATTTTAAAACTGTTTTTTGAGGGATTTTAAAACTGTTTTTTGAGGGATTTTAAAACTGTTTTTTGAGGGATTTAAAAACTGTTTTTTGAGGGATTTTAAAACTGTTTTTTGGGGCTTTTAAAGTTGTTTTTTAGGGGATTTTAAAGCTGTTTTTTAGGGGCTTTTAAAGCCATTTTTTAGGGGCTTTTAAAGCTGTTTTGAGGGATTTTAAAGCTGTTTTTTTAGGGGCTTTTAAAGCTGTTTTTTTGAGGGATTTTAAAGCTTTTTTGAGGGATTTTAAAGCTGTTTTTGAGGGGTTTTAAAGCTGTTTTGGGGCCTTTAAAACAGTTTTTTCTTTTCACTGCTGGCTCTCTGCTCTGTAGGGAGTTGCTCTGGACACCAGCAACATGCCGAGGGAGCCGCCGCCGCCCTACCCGCTCTACCAGCAGCCGCAGCACGCCGTGGAGCAGGGCCGGCAACATCAGCACCATCAGCAACAGCATCAGCACCATCAGCAACAACAGCATCAACAACAACAACAGCAACAACATCAGCAACAGCAACAACAGCATCAACAACAACAACAACAACATCAGCAACAACAACAACAACAACAACATCAGCAACAACATCAGCAACAACAACAGCATCAGCATCAACAGCACCAGCACCAGCAGCCAATGTCTCCTCTTCAGAACATCCCACTGGACTTCAACACAGGCCAGGTGTGTTTGTGGGTGTGTTTGTGGGTGTGTTTGTCTGTGTGTGTCTGTGTGTGTCACATGACAACACCACCAGTTTGAACAAAGACGGATCGTATAAACCTAAAATGAGGCTAAAATGAGCCGACATGGGCAGTAAAACTGGAAAAGAATGAGCTCTGGGTGGTCTCCTAATAGACCAGCAGCTCAGTAAAGTAGTTTAAAACTGCCCTATTTTAAAAAAATGTCCATATATAAGGCTCATAGAGTAGAAGCTCCAGTAGCTGCTGGGCTAAGTTAGCATCCGCCAGCTAAAGCTAAGCTAACGGGAAGGTCAGCTAACAGTCAGATGATCAGTCAG